CGTCCCGCAGGCTGCGTGGGGAGCCGAGCTGGCTGCGGAGCGCGGGGTGGCCGGCAGTGAGTCAGCGGCAGGGAAAGAAAGGGCTTCGCTTGTGTTCGAGGCGCCGGTCGGAGAGGCAGGAGGGCCGTGCGCTGCTCTTGGCCGGGCTGCGGCCTGCTGATGTCGGGCAGCACGAGGTTATTGTGCGCGAAAGCCGAATTACCGTAGCGGGGGCAGGCTTATTTCTGACATTTCCTAACTGCAGCGCGTAGTTTTGCAACCTCTGTTTAGCACGCTGGATTGATATAGAATCATACTTCCCTGTTAGTTGTTTCCCATATAAATGTAAATAAACTGAAGGCCCTGAATGGGAGGTGAAAATGTAGTTGATGGTTTGTGTCACGCCACGGTCACCGCTTGCAACAGCGTCTACCTTTACTGTTTTCCTAGAACAGCTTTTGCTTGATCTGGAAGTTTGCCAAAGTTATGCACGAGCATCTTAACTCCCTGAATTTTTTCTGCAATTCTCTAACGATCTTGACCAAAAGTATTAACCCCCGATCCAAAGTCCTGCTGTTACTTGCTTCAACGACTGTTGCCACAGCTGCTTGAGATGAGCTGTGTCTTCTGTTCCTTTGAAAATTTGTTCAAATATGTATCTTTATGCATCTTAGCATGCCAGTGTCTCCATGTTTATGACCATCCCAGTCTGTCAGAAGACCCCAGTGCAGAATCATCCGATTACCCCTCAGCTATCAAGCTTTTTTATTATAAGTAGTTACTAATTTTGCATTCCCCGTGTAAGCTCTCGTCCGGAAGCTGTTACATGACAATCCAGTTGCTTTCAGGTTCTCGCTGGTTGTACTCTGCCCTCTTCTTTCAACATTCCTCTCTCAGCTCTGCTCTCTCTTTCTATTGACATTTTTACTATTGACATCTCTGCTGGCAACCCTGCTGCTTCATGTCTGTCTTTGCCTTGAAGGTGCCCCTGCCAATGTACTCTCTGTCTTCCTTCTCCCAACTGCCAGAGGGTCATTTTTGGCATCCCACCTTCTTCTGTCTCTACTTAACTGCAAGCCAGCTTCCTTTGCCATCAACCGAACAATTGCAGTTTTCCATAGCTGCTTCCAAATGCTGTACAGTCTCTTGATTACAACTTACTAACATCCCCCAAAGCATCAGGCTTGCTGTTTGACCAGAATTCGAGAAGGAAGAGTTACTGGTTTCAGCTGCAGCCGGTCAGCTAAACTGCAGCCCGAGGACTCACCTTTGAGGCAGACCTACCCAGCAGGGTCTGGGCTTCGGATGCAGCCCCAGCCTAGTTTGATGGAGTGAAAGCTGTCATGGATGACCAACATAATCTAATAAACTCCTTTCTGTGTTTAACAGACATGCAACTATACGGCTTAGTTTTTTATGTATTTGAGTGGGATAATGCTTCTGATGTATTTATTTGTATATAATGCTTTCCTTTCCAACGTGTTCTTCTGCACTTTAGACACACAGCATTATTTTTCTCAGAAATTTTAGACAGCAGTAAATGTGAATAAATGTTTAAATTTTCTGAAACCAAGTAAAATATTATTTAAAAGGTTCTCAACTCTAAAAATGAAATTATGCTTACAGTTCTGATTACATACATAAATAAATCTGTCATCAGCAAATGCAAAACAAACTATTGTGGAGAATCTAGCTTAAACACAACCTGTCATAGCCAATTTAATTAAAAACTGGCGTGTACCTAGAGTATTTTCTACCTTCACCAGGCTGTGTCTGATCAAAAAGGAAACCAACCAGGCAGACCAGGAAATCGTGGAAAGACTGTCAGCTCCTTTGAGTGCTGTGTTCAAATATATGTCTAATCCAATTAAACCCAAGTAAGCGGTCAAAAAGGTATGGCAAGCTTTCCCAACAACTTCTCCTGTGACAAAACTTAGCATATGTACTTCAACGAAGCACTACAGTTACTGAGATAGGCAGACCAGACAGAAGTGTTACTAATTGCTTTTCAACCTATTTAAATACACTGTCATTACTTCCACTTAATGTTGGGTCTTTTGCCGTAACAAGGTGACATTAAAGCCTCAGTTCTGGAAAGAAGAAGATAAATGTGTTTTAAGAAAATTATTAGTTCTGTGATCAAAATAAAGGGAGGTGATACTAAAAAATGATAGCAGATAATGAAAAGCAGGAGGGGAAAAAAAGCGCTTATTTCAAACAAAAATAAAAGTGCTGCCTAGAAGAGTTTGTCCAAACAGAAATGCAGTATCTTCAGTTTGAGAGCTATATTAGGAAACAGCTAAGCCATACAATCGGTCAGTTTAAATATGCCATGGTTTGGACTATCTCCATCTTCGTATCAAGTTCAGGAGTCAGTCACATGGATGAGTTCATCCTACAATCAGGGTCTAGAAAGTCTTTGTACTGTTACACATATCTACTTTAACTGTTAACTTCGTGTTCTGTAAATAGGTCTCTTGAAAAGTAAATGTCATCCTATGAAAGGCCCTACGAGTCCTGGAAACAGCATTATCAGGTTTGGGCAAAGGACAAACACTATGTAGCTGCCCTACAGTGCCACTCGTTATTGGGGGTGGGAGTGATTTCAAATTCTTGTGCTAATTTAGAACTAAAGCTACATCTCCCCAGATCATCATCATTATATTAGTTGTATTATTTGCGTGGGGACGTGAAGACACAGTTTTCTCGGTAGCTGCTGTAGGAGCATGGCATTTGCTTTCAAAGTACCTCAGCATGACCCTGAACCTCCCCATCGTCCCAACAAAATGCAGGCATTAGGTATATTAAAAACAGCTTTCCCAGCGTTATTTAAAAAGACCTCAAGCCTCTGTGCGGGGGTGACAAGAGAGAGAAATAAGACATGTAAGGTGTTTTATAAAGATATATTTTAACTTCTAAGGCACTCAGGAACCATGGTGATGAATGTGACACAAACTTAAATTGCTTAGATATGAGCTCTGATCCACGGGGAACTATCCTAAGATTCATAAAGAGCATCAGATGCTAATAACTTCCCATCAGTACCTACCTGGGCTTGATTTAACTGGTGACATACAGCTGAAATCCCTTGAGACTGACTTTCATTTAAATGTCGACCACTGCTTTGACAGTATAAAGTGACCTCAACAAAATGAGGATCTCGCTGTAATCTTACGCCATTGGGAAGTTAAAAACAGTCTCTCACCCAAATTGCTGGGCAACTGATGCCAAAACAAATTTACTTTTTTCCCCCCAGTATTTCCTTTTTTCCCCATTCAACATTCTGACTGATTTTGCAGGAAGCTTATAGTGGCTTTTACACCACGGTGTTAAAACTAGTAAACAGATTGCTATGTTTGTTTTGTGCATGCCAAGGGGAGCACAAAAGATTATTAATTGCAGAACTATACTGTCAGTAACAACCTTGATCTTGCACTGGGTATCATTCTGTCACTGTCAGAATCTGTCACTGTTGTAGGAGATGTCTTGTATTATCTATCACATTCTTGTGACATTTGCTGTTCACAAATACAGTTTGAAAACACAGTTGGAATTTCAAGTCATTTTTACGTTCCTTAGTTTTGTACAAGTAGTTTACAATTATACTCTAAATATTTTAAAAGGGATCCATTTTTCTGCAACCTTAAAAGCTTATTATATAATTCTAACAATTTTCATTAATATACGGACATTTTGTTGCTGTCTATACAAAATTAAGTTGCTTTTATTTTTCAACTGCAGTAGCAGCAGTATCCAGGCACTGTCCTGCACTTCAGTAATGGAAATTTCCCAGCCTCAAAGCGCACTCTGTCTCAGTCAGCTGCAATAAAACTCTGAGTGATTTCAATATTGTTGTGTGCTTTACTTGTCCTCAGTTATCTGGAGCTTCTATCTTTTGAAAACCAACTACTCCTCATGAGCTTGCTTCACTTTGCCCAAGACTTAAAATTCAGTAAACAAGCTGTGGATGATAAGAGAATTGAACCACCAGATAAAAAGTTATTTTAGAGGACTGACAAAACAGAACATACATATAGTCAATATTTATACAGAATGTTACAGTGACTTGTGAGGATGCCACTGAAGTCCCAGTATATGACCGTTGTTTCCTTGTGCTGAAGCTTTATGCACTGGGAGGCTATTAAGTTTTTACAAATGGATTTAGCTAGTGCATAATATCAGTCTCTTGATCTCTGTATTTCTGATATCATTGATTGCTAGGAAAATACATGAAAATACAAAAAAGGAGATAATACTATTACAAAAACCTCAGAAGTCTAATAATTTACAAATACTAAAATATGCAGTCTGTTTTGCCCACTTGTTCTCAGTTCAGCTGTAGACAGGACAAGTGATGCCTCCAACAGAGGCAGAAGTCAAAGAATGTAAACCAAGATTATTAGGGTTTTATGTTGTTCAGACATTGCAGTAACTCTGGTTTTAATACTTCTTGCTCATAGCTAAAAAATTAGGGACCACGTGTGATGAAGAGGTTGGCTGATGTGCAGGCAGAGGAGAAAGGATGAAGAAAGAAAGAATAAAAGGGAATATGGGGGTGGGGGAAGAATGTAAAATGAAAGTAAAATGACAGGTAGTGGGAATGAGCTATGGGAATAGAAGGGTTGCAGTTGGAGGGGTGATATCCAGACCCCACTGCATCTGGCTTTGTGCAAGTGAAGCACTTGGCAGACACACAAGTCCCTTCATGGAGAACCAGTTTGGGGAATGATGCCAGACCTTCCAAAAAGAGTTTACCAGGACTTGCTTTCACTGATGTTGTCAGCTGGGGTGATGTTCACCACAAATACACATGTAGCTAATGATTTTGTGATGGCACACGTATACTTCCTAGTTTTCTGCTGTTATTATATTTAGTCTAAATGATGGGCAGTGGCTGAACAGAAACAAGCGATAGGGAACAGTACACTAACGGGATTCTGAGATTTTCACGTAAAAGTCACCAGGGTTCAAAATTCAGCCAACATTGATACATCATCACAGGACAAGTGCACGGCAGCCTTTATGAGCAAGTTGGAGGCCGTAGCAGCACAGTTATTCTGCATATAAGGTTCCATGTATGAACTGTCATACTTAGCTTTCCTGTTGCTAGTCTTGGCAGAAAACAAGGGAACAGGACTGCCTCTTCTCTTTTACTGGCCAGATCCTGGCCTTGCTGACACTGAACTGCAGAAGAGTCACCTCCAGCTTTATGGCTGAGACACGCTTCAAGCACCTGCAGGGAAATCTGCATCTTTGCTCTCTAAGCCGCACCTGTGCTGCGGGAGGGAGGGAAGATATCAGTTTCTTCTCCTTGCACTTTGTTCAATCCACTGACCCAAGAGCCCGTACTGCATATTTTTAATAGATATAAGTTACAGACATCTGTTTCTACAGTCCAAAATTGATGAATCATCATTCATTTTTAAAACAACCATTTCTTTTGCAGTTTTGCATATCTATGGCAGATAAGAGCTGTGCAGACAAGAGAGATTTCCTGAAGGAAGTGGTGTCACAGTATTTTGAAAAAAAGAGCCAAGCTGTTGGAATCTGTGTTGCGTTACGGGGGCAATGCAATACCTCTGAGCGCTTCCTGTTTATCATGAGATACAGTTTTCACCACATCATAAAACTTTCAAGCATTTGTTAATAAACACTCCTAGAGAAAAAATAATATCCAAATATACAACCCCCTGTGGCATCTGTCATTATAAACAAAAGAAGGTTTTCATTACATATATCAGGGGACTATTTGTGTGAGAGGAGCGGATTCTGAGGGCCCCATCCACCTCCCGCTGAAGTCCACGTTGCATCTCTCATTACGTCATTGGACCCCTGGCATATGATTTTTCTTATATGTAAACAGCAAGATGTTTGAATGAGCAAATGCAATTTTTTACTATCAGCATTTGTCATTTTTTTAAACGACATGGGTATTCAGAGAATGAACACCTGCAGAATTACAGCACAGAGCCTTATATAAAGATGGCAAAAGTAAGATTTGCTTCTAACAACAATAATCTGCAAGTGCCGAGGTACCTAATCAAATATACAAATTGTGCAGATGTTCAGAGCAGTGCTGTCTCGCTGTGTGGTCTTTCTCACTCGACAGCTTTGTTGTCTCTATTAATTCTTCTGGATAAATTAACCTAGCCTGAAAAGGTAGATCTGGGGAGCAGAAGGGTGCAGATTTCTCAACACCAGCGACCTTGATGGTGCAATTCTCACCCCCAGCAGATAAGATCTTTGGCAAGGAAATGCAAATTACTGAGACTGATTCAGGATGTTCTTGTGATCATGGCTAGGACTTGGTCTGCAGCTGACAGGCACACGGGGTGGGGGCTGGGGACGAAAGTCAAGGGTTCTGCCAATTCTATAGGGAATAAGCATTTTGATAGGTAACTATACAACAACAGTGCAAAGACAGGCCTTGGGTCTCCACAGCTTCACCACTGGAAGAGGCTCGTTAAGTTGGGAGCAAACTATAAGGCTTATCTGTTCAAGCTTTCTGGGACAAATGGGAACACCTGAACTGAAGTTTCAGGTGGTAATCCTGCTGCATGGAAATTCAAGATGGGTAATGACTGCACACAATTCTTACTTCTTTAAATGGCTATAACATTTTAAACTCTGCCACATAGACTGTTATCAGGTAGACCAGGGGAAAGACTGAACCTCAGAAAGATGTTCCCTCCGGCCACCAGCACTACATCTAGCTAAACAGAATTAATAATTAAGGCATTTGTAGCTTTTTGGATTTTGAAAGTTTTAACAATGGGAAAATTATCTGGCTCACATTACTGTTGTCTTACCTGACATATGGTGGTTATTACTCCAGATATAAAAGGCATCTTTTATGATTAGGCTCTGTGTAAGTGCAATACATCCATTGTAATCAAGCACTACATTTATCTTACTGGATTACTGAGTCTCTGGGTTTTGTACAAGTGACACAAAATTGTTGTGAGGATCTATTAGCATCCTGCATCTCAACCAACTTTTCAGTATGATATTTCATTTCCCAGTGATGCTAACAGAACCACACTGAATCCCTGGCCTGGAAATCCTGAGAGAAAGACCAACAGCAATTAAAAGTATTTTTTACTATTACAATAAAGACCACTAAAAAAAAAGAAAGAAAGAAAGAGCAAGAGAGAGAGCACCGCTCTTTTTGAAAGATATGGCAAAATATCTGTAGGATGATGCTCTGCATCCAATTTCACAGGTATCATTAATGGCGGTAGGGTAAGATTAAGTGATTATGCTCTGCCAAACAGTATGTGTGGGAGAGCAGACAGCAGATGTCCAGCCGCTTAGGCCTATGCCTTGCACACCAGACCGTGGTGTGGAAATGCATGTGGCTATTTAATTGTTATTCAACTACAAGTTGCCTGGATTTATGAGTCTGGGAAGTGCATTTGCTGCAGTGAGAAATGAGTGTTTATTAGCACAGTAGCTGTGCCGGCCTTTCCCGCAGAGAGGCAAAGTATCCCTGTCTATAGAAAATGGATTAAAAGGGGGCAGTGTACCACTCATGTCCCATTTACCTTTGTGAAGTGCAGCTGGATAAATGCCAATATATGGATACATTTCCATCATGAACTCTGAACAGCTTTTACTGCTGCTTGTCACAGATAATAAAAATGCAGCAGCTGTCCTCTTATCAAATCCCAATTTGGAGAAATGCATATCTAAATAAGGGACATAAACAGGACTCCTCCTTCAGGGACAGCTACATGGATACACGAGAATAAACCCTGTAAGAGCTAGATTAGGAAGATGGGACCATTGCCCTGTATTTAAGCATTTTTCCGGTGCTTGTTGCAGCAGCCTTCTGTGGTCACTCTGAACGTATCCTCTGTCCTTCTTGGTTCCTCTTCCACTGCTCTTACCCATGACAACATCCTCCTGGGCTCCTGCAGTCCCGTCCATTCCTTTCTCTGCCATGTGGGCTGGTGCTACTGGATGACCTCCCTTCCCTATCCAGTCAGCCTCCCTGATCAGGCCGTGTTCATCTCGTGCCCTTTTGAGGGAAGCATCACCTAGGAGATGAAGTGGGAGGTCAGACGTAGAACAGCAGCGAGGCATCCCCCAGTCCACCCCAAATCTGCAGCAAAAAGGCTATGTCTCTGCTTCTCCCGCACATTGCAGTTCCAGTCTCCATTCTCAGAGGGTCCAACTCTCCTCCTTTCCTGGGCTGGTATATTTTTTACTGAATTCATTTTCTTACAGTTTATTGAGCTGCATGAGCTCATCAAAGGGCCAGACAAGCACCAGACCTGTACAAAGAAAGCAGCAGGGCTGGGAGCAGAAGTGTCCTTTTTGATACCAGCAGTCCATTAGATTTGGCTCAGTTGCCATGTGATATCACTCCCTAAGACTAGTTTCATCTGGGAAACAGGGAGGTTTGACTACACTGCTGAGAAGCCTTCAGGCACTTCTTTTGCCTTTGCCATCCTTTGCTGCACTTTTCTCCGTTCTTGAAAAACACAGGAAAAAAAATTGTCACGAGGGCAGTTTTATAGCAACTTCTTTACCACCTCGTTTCTGCTCATCCTGTTCCTCTCCTGTTTCTGCCATATATCCTTCCTGAAATCTTTCTGCTGTAATTCTCTGTACTCCTGGTGATCTTGTCCTACCATCTCACAAGCAGCTGTTGACCTCTAGAAACACACTCCCGATCTAGGATCTTTTTCCTTGCAAACACACTGCACAAGCAAGACAGACAAACGCAGGCCTCCTTTCTCAGGACAAGCGTTAGGAAAAAAATATTACACAATCCACAAGACATGCGCATTACTCACCAAAACAATCATGGGTATCCTATTTCTGCAGCCCTGCCTCTCAGTGCTTGTTTCTTTCCAGTATTGTGCCAATGCACTGAAGCCAGGACCCAATAACAACCGTGTATGTATAAACCTAAAGCCTGTAACTGAGGGGACTTTCTTGTACAGCTATAGTAATGATCAGGGGCTGTCCTACTGCGAAGAACAGAAGTATCGTGCTGTGTTTGTTTTGTGATGTGGTCTGATCATCTATACTGTTGAATTAATAAAAATAACAAGATAGAAGCTTTCCAAATGGAATCCATTGCTAACTGTCGTTCATTGCTCTATTCTTATTCCACATACATTAGGAAGTGTGCATTATCTGATAAATCAAGACATAAGAAACAAATAAATGCCTTTATATTGTAAGAAAAAAAAACTTTCTAGAAATACTGTAGAAACATTCACATCCTCTATTTCTGTCTTTTGTAAAAGGCAGGCTGTGTCTTATTACCATCAAGGAAAAAGTAAACAAACGTAATTTAATCAGTTCTGTCTTTCGTTGATTTGCATCAGCAAGAATAAAAGACAAAGGCAGAATGGAAAACAGCAGCTTTGTGCTAAAAGTTTGAATGCACAAAATACTTCTTTCTCCAGCTGTCAAACATTAAAAAACGCTATGCATACCAGTAATAATAAAAGTGTCAAACAATTGACCACAACGGGAATCACAATGCTTCATTAAAAGCTCCAAAGCAGAGTAGAAAAGCTTCCAGCCATTTGTTAAACAGAACTAAATGCGAAGATACTTTCCAAAAAGTGTCAGAAGATGCTTTCATCTAGTCTCGTCAGTCAGATAAATATCTCCTTGCTTATTTTAGCCCGGTCTCGGAGCTTGCACCGATTCAGCAGTAACAGCTGTATGTGCCGTTTGTTTTCCTGAGACTGGGGCATCTCTCAGTAAAAGAGAAAAGGTTAATGTCCTTTCCAGTGATCAGGCCTTCATTCCATGTGGTGCAGGGATATAATCAGTAATTTTCTATTTACATATGTAATTATGTATTATTTGGAGAACCTAACCTATTTGTTCAGCTGACAGGCAATGTTGTGATAAGGAATTTCAGCAGACAGGATATTTATAGACCCTTTATCTCTACGTACAATCAGAACTAAAATGTCAAACAATACCCCGAATGAAGGGTTGTTTCAGTTCAACTTTTCTCCATTGTTGCTTTTTCCTTTTTTTTTTCTCCCTCTGTCTGGTTACTGCCTAAAACTTGGCAGTGAAAGAAAAAAGGGAATGTGACTCACACTGACGACTTCATTTGCTGTAAGAGACCTCAGTAATTGCTCTAACCCACTTACAGGAAAGCTACCCCTCCTCTTTCTCTCTTCCTCCACCCTTAGATAGACAGAGGCCATATTTGTAACAGGAGCAGCCCGGCTGATCTCAGAGGTCATGCTATCACTTATGAAGTAACCAGGCCTCTTTCTTTCCACTTTTCTTCTTCTGGATTCAAGTTAACCCCTCACAAGAACTTAAAGCAGCTTCAGTTTAAGGGGCAGCTTCCTGCCACGGATTTCTCATGAACCTAATAACCAGCCTTTGCAAAGGACTCACGGCTCAAACGCAGCAGGGTTGAAGTAGCTGCTCCCATGACATGCACCAGCTTGGCAGCCAGCACCGCAGCTCCAGGATAAAGCTACCGAGGAGTCAAACAATTGTCGCCTTTTCCTTTTCTTATGGGATGGGGACAGGGGACGGTAAATAGGAACAGGAGAAGAATCAGCACAGATGCCTATGCAGCACTCTACCAAAATATATTTTCATTTTTAATTACATAATCAACATAATGAGAGTGGCATTCCTAGTGAGGTGGCGGAACAGATGGCAAAGACTTCGTTTTCAGCAAGACGTTAATTAACAACAACTCTGGTTTCTGCTAGAAAAGGGGGTTTGTTCTGCTCTAGCAGGGTTAAGACGGCTGCTTACTACATCGGACAAAACTCAGTTTCCAAACACAGAATTGTAATTTTATTGTTTTTTTAACCTACGTCCCTGTTGAAATTTCCAGGATACTCTCCAAAACACAGCAACATCCTACCTGCAAAGCCTTATTAAAAACCAACACAGTAGCTTGGGGTTCTCCTTGCAAACACTTCTGCATGCTCTGTGGACATATAAGTGCAAAGAGGAAAGGGAAGAAGAGTTGATATGATTAAGTGAGAGAGCTTTGTGCAACTTAAACTGCAGGTGAGGCTTGTGTAATACACAGCAGCTTCACAGCGATGTGGTTAAAGCTAAAGCTTTCTTAGACGCTCTACATGAAGTCCTCTCTCCTCTTTCCTCTGTTCCACACGCTCGGACTTAACATCTTCGGCACACTGATGCAGCTGAGTTGGAAAGAGCTAACCCAAGGGGGACTGAAGCAGAAAGTAGCTATGAAAGATGTTTATTAAAACCACAGGCAGAGAATACATCACCCAGACACAATGAATAGGGAAATAGCACATGCAGCCGAAAAGTCTAGCCTCTATTTTTTTGTCTGATAAGCTGGCTGGACAGCCAGGCACACCGAACAGCCCACAAACATCCAGCTCTTCCCTCCCTGCGCTGCCAGGTGACGTGAGATTGCTTTTTCCTGCTTAGCGTTCCCCATCAGAGGCTCTCCGGAGTCACACGCCCAAAGTCCTGCAGAGGCCTGTGGGCCACATTCCTCCGGGGATTACATCCATCCCCAGCAGGAGAGAGGGAAGAGAGATGCAGGCCAAGAGGGATGGGCAAGCAGTGGGGAGGGAGGAGCAGGGGGGAGGTGGGGGAAGGAGCTAGCTGTAGAGAACGTCGAGATGAACATAGGCAGAAGCTGGAGGACAGTGCTGCAGGAAAGGGAGAGGGGAAGCAGTCCTATACTATAGCAATATTATATAAAACAGGGCAACAGGGCATCTAGATTCATGTGCTGTGGAGCTTGGAAATGAACCCATTATTCCCACGTCTCAGCACTCATCCCTGTGCTGCCAGCAAATAGCTAACAGCTGACAAGAAACGTCTCTGCCCATTCTAGTGACATGCACATCTAGAAAGGATGCTTCTCCATTACTCCCACTTACTCCGTGCAGGCAGTAGATGGTTGTGAGTCTGCCCTGTAAGCTGAAAATCACACCCCTACCGATTACCCAGGGGGAGTGAATGATATGACTGCAGATGATTTTTCATTTTCTTTCAATGTGCGTGTTAAAAACATAGTTGGGATGAGTTAAAAATTACATTACAAGAATATTGCAGTTAGGAAGTCCAACACTAAAAAGTGAGTATATGCCTGAACTAAGAATGTCTGTTCCACCTTTCAGCAGCTACTTGAATTCAAAATATCAGGTCAGGCTCCCATGCCGTATTGTTCTCAGCCATAAGAAAGTGCATCCTGACATCGTTATACTGAGCATAACTAACCTGCAGAACTGTACGTGATTTGGGCCTCCATCAGTTCACGTTGCGTTAAACCAGAAATGGGCCATAGAGAGGAACTCAGTATCTTGCATGCATCAGATGGCAGAGATTCTTTGCAGGATGATTTTCAGGAGGAGTGCCAGATATCACCAAAACTGTGCTTAGGAGGTGCAAAGTAGAGGAAAGAAAAGAACACACAAAAAACCTATATTCTGCTTAGCCTGTCCTCCTTTCACAGTGGTTAAGAGGGAGATGTGAGAATCAACAGAACTGTATTTGTACTTACAGCTACTTTTTTGGGGAGAAGAGAAGGCTGACTAAAAACCCTTTGCAGATATTACCTTTAAAAAAATAAAATCAACATAACAAGAAGTTAACTCTTGAAGAAAAAAAAACAGAAAGAAAAGCGACCAACAGATGCACAGACAAGCAGTGACTTCAGTGGAGCTGCAAGGCTGAATTTGGCTTGAATTCTGTGAAGTACTTTCAAAGCAGGAGCATACTGCATACAAATGAGCGTTAAATAATTTGCATCATTAAGAGAGCTCCGAGCAGCTCATCTGGACTTTGAAAAAAGCTAAAGCAAATGTACATTGTTTGAATACCATTAGGGACAGTCATTAACTAGCATTAAGACATCTACAGTATCGACACTTAGTGCTGTAATAAGAGACCCATCCTCCTTTCCAGGTTATTTTCTTTATTGATTTGTAGAATTTCTTATACCCAAGCTTTAGAGTTCCACAGAGCTCAGCAATTCACGTAGGAATACCCATTAAGGACCTATACAATTACTTCTTTTTTGTATTGCATCTTTTAATTTTTGTTTTCCAGAAACATAGTCCTGTTTGTTTGGTATAGATACCGTAGAAAATTTAAACACCAATGTATATCAAAGAAACAAAGACAGAAACAGGTAAATGAATTTATCCAGGGTGACACAGAAGGACACGCTGTAACAGAAATAGACTAAAGGGTCTGGATGCCCAGTTTCCTGGTTTAACCATTTCACTCGATCAGCTCTAAGCAGAGCTGCTGTAGGACTAGGATAAACTATGGCCTCATGCCATATCTCAAATGCTTGAGAAGATGTTTCAGAAGTAGCAGGGACAGTACAGAACAGGTCAGGTGAAGAACGCAAGTTGTGCAAAGAAACAAAGGTACAATATAGTTTAATATGGTTGAAGGCGTTCGAGTGCTAGAGCTGCAGGAGTTGAAGGGTGATGGAATACCGAGAGCTAAATATGCGCAGCAGAGTGCATAGGGGGAGGCAGGGGCAGGCTACAGCCTACAGGCAGTTGAAGGGGAGCTGGAAGGAATCTTTAATGAAGGCAGAAATCGTTCTGGGTGACTCAGAATATTGGTATTCACAAAGAGAATTGAGAACAGGCAAAAATAAATAAAGCTGAAAGCAAACCCCAAAGGCCAAATCCCTCTCAATAGCCAGAACGCTGATATAATCTGAGCAACCAAACAACAGGTCCTTGTGAAAACCTCTCTCCGGCTGCTTCCCGCACACCAGCCTCTCTCCACGGCTGGCAGTGGCTGCAAGCAGCTCCCACTGCCCAAGCCAGGGAGCTTTGCAGGCTGCTGGTGTGCTGACACCATTTTTCTTACACAAGGCAGCCCTGGTGGTCTTCCCTCCACACCCCCAGCCCTTGGCTTCCCCGTGACATCTCAACTAGCGCATTGTGTAACTTCGCAAACTTCCCTTCAGCCCCGAGCAGCTCAGCTCGGCTTTCATGAGCTGCCAGCTTTTGTACATGTCACAGGCACACACATGGGTCACTGACAGATTCAAAGTCGCAGTAGTTTTATTTATGAGGGGAGTTACGCTAGCCAACTTCCAGATCCTGCTGCCATCAGCCCAAAATGTATGCAGGCAGCATTTAACTAAAAGCCCAAGTTCTACAAGTTTTACAGTGGAGACTGAAAAACAGATTAGTTTCAATTTTTTTATACAGGTGTGATGGCTTTTTGCTTTTCTTTTTTGCTTTTTCATTAAAGAGTGGTCAAAGAAGTTACAGTTCTATATATTGGAACTGAGATCAGTAAGACTGAAGGACAGGAAAGACTTCCTGACAGTGAGATCTATTAGTCAATGGAGCAGTCTCCCAAAGGAGGCAATGGGAACACAAGAAGTGCTTTAGCAGAGCCAGTATTAAGTGCTCCAAGTGATGCAGCCAACTCCTAGAGGATTGCCATGAGACACACAGCCTTCAGCAATGCAGGATGCCTGCTATTAGCCTGCTAATGCACATCCTGGCTTGGCCAATTGCTGTTTGGGAATAGCTCATTGACTTAAAATTTCATTAACAAGAAAATACTAGAAGACAATTTTCTAATGGTAGGGGCAGGCCTTTGCAACATATCTTCCCACTACAAAAAGTGATTATTAGTAGGGGTAAGAAATGAACAGTTTTCATTAGCATTTGTATTAGGATTGATTCATTAACCTTTCCTTAAACTACTTCAAAGCAAAAAAAAAATACTGAATTGCTTGGATCCCCTTTCTGTCTCTTTTCCCCTGCAGAAAACAGCCACTTTCCAATCTCTTGCTAGCTTTACCAAATAAATAAAAAAATAAAAGCCACCAGTTACAAAGGGGCTTAAGATTGAGAATACAGATCCAGAATTTCTTTACCTTAGAAAGCAGACAAAACTAAGACTACAAATTGAGATACTAAAATTAAGGCAAAAACCCCAGACTTATAAACATTTCCAGGAGGAAGAACATAATGGGGGATAAAAAATTAGATTAAACTATTTTTCAAAGGTTTTAATGTCAGTCCAAAACCAAGCATTTGAAATGCTTTCCTCATAATCTTCTCGTTAGTATAAGCTGCACTGTGTAGCAGGAACATTGTTTCAATGGTTCAGCCAGTAACTTCCAAATACACTGTACTTAGACTTTAAATGTAACCTTAATACTGAACATCTAGGGTTTGATGTTTACTTTAGTATCCTCATCAATCACCAGTACAGGCAATCAGCTTTAGATCTGTAGTGAGAGGAAGGTCTGTCCATGTATGATTTGATATTTCTAACATTTTGAAGTGATGAAAATCCATTGAAGGGTGGGACAGAGAGGAGAGGATTACTTTTTTGTTTTTAAAAACAGGCTTGCAATACAACAACAAAGCCTGCCTACACTGTTGAATTTGACCTCTGCCTCAACTGCAACGTTTCATTTCTTCAGAATGATACAACACTTCAGGTGACTGATACGATAGAAAGGGGGAATTGGCAAAGCCATTTCAGTGTCTAATTCATTCTCCCATCTCGAGTCCCTCAATAGCAGGGGTTCAACAGGAGCAGTCCTAAAGCAGCTGTGCTCCAGGGAGTCTTCTGAGAGCCAACACTAAGGACATGGCACCTTTAAAGACCAATGACATTTGGCCAGTTAAGTCTGTCAGGGAAAACTGACATGCATCCACGCTTCACCCCATGCCAGTCATTCCAGCTGCTGGAACAGTTGTGTGGAATTAGCTGCATCAACAGAAAGCAATTGGGTGAAATATCTGATGTCAGTGGCCCAACTCGTGTTACCTGTGCCTGTCTGTAACCTAACAATTAGATCCATCGTTAGCAGCTTGGCTTAATTATAACTTAGAACTTCTTCAAACATAGACTTTGCACAAGATTTTAAATGACTATAATTAATTATACAGAAAGCCCAAAGTGTCTTCTGGTCCATTGTTAAAATTTATTTTCCTTTCCCCACACTGACACCAGAACTTGGTTTCGTAAAGGAACTGGGCTGTAGACTAAAAGAGAGGTATCTCTTATAGCCTGATAAACACACAGAGAAATACCTTTTATGTCTTCATATAACGAGAAACAAGGCTTCAGATATTTTTAATCTTGACTAAGAGATGAGAAAAGGAATATTATTCTAACCTATACTTGTTTAGTCCCACTCTTTACATGAATGACTTCTTTCCTGCCACCCATGTAAAAGGCTTTTTGCACTCTCCCCACATTACTGCTGTTGGCCATTATCAGAGATCTGGTATTGTACAGCCTGAACCAACTACTTGAATTTTAACCAGTAAAAAGCAAAACACAGAATTAGTGCCAGAAACACTGCAACATCTTAAAAGATACGGGGCAGGAAGGAAGATATCATCATGCAAAGAAACTTTCCCCACTCAGCTTTCCAGTGCCTACCTGCCAGATGAAAATATTATGGGAATGACACAATACGCAGACGGCTCTTTTGAACAATTTGTGGCAATGGGCAACATCACATATCTTTTCCTATTTGTTCTGCTTTGGCCAAAGGAAAGAGGGAGCCCTCTAGGGGTAGAAACACAAAGCCCTGAAGGAATATTCAGACACCTGCAGAACAATTTGCCTTTTCCATACCGAGACCCTCCTTGCCTTACCTTGAGATAGGAGCGGTTCCCTGTCCTGTGGAAGGGCTCAGAAGCCGAAGGTCTACGCAGAAAAATCAGGCTGGGTAGAAGGAGGTCACAGGCTCTTTCCTGGAAGTGCTTACTCTACAGCCTAGAATATGATGTAGGAAGTAAGTCTCTTTTCTATCGTTTGTGCAATCTTTTTCAGGGAAAATAGAACATCACTGAACTGCAGACTGAAGTGCTGTAGCTAGTCTGGCCCACCACAACATAGCTAGAATTTTTTCTTTTAGGCTATGCAAAAGACTTGGTTTTGCCTTACTATATGCCTCAAGCATACAATGAACTCTTATATAAAATGAGCAGGTTTATGTTTGTCAAGGCATGTTCAGAATATTTCTTTCCAAGAGCTACTTCTATTTGAAGGCTAGATAACAGCTGCACCATTTAAACATTTAAATATTTTCTCATTCTAATGAGAACTTAAGATTCTTTCCAAACAGCTCAACATAACAACATGAGAATATGGCAAACCCAAACTTCAAAACATTTTAACTCCAGTAAAAAAAACAAACCACCAAACCCAAATTGCAAGTATCAAAAAGCATCTAACAAGATATCAAGAACTGGTTGTAGTGCAACAGGTAACAGATTTTGTTACATATCCAAAACAGAAAAGTTCAAGAACAGTGTAACACTTTGAAAAAATTGGTTTTTTTTATATAAGGGATGTTAGCTGCAAGACATCTGCAGTTACATATGCAAAACTGCATTATCAGTTTGGTGAAACAGGTAAATACCCATTACAGTCTCTACACATAATTTACAAGCAACTTTCTGCATGACATATTCAAGCTTATTCTTGATTTCTTTAAAAAAAAAAAAAAAAGGCAAAAACTTAAAGACAGTAACATGAAAGCCTGTAATCTACATTAGTGCTACTTGAATAGCAAACTTGATCTTGATGCAGAAAACAATGTTTTGTCTGGCCCTTGCCAAGGAGCAGAGACATGCTAAGTCTGCATTACTAGAGGACAGCCCATATTTCTTAAAGATCTCCTAGTCTCTGAAGAAGCACTTCTGCTCACTCCATTTCCCAGGTGTAGAGGACAGGCATTTCGAGACTGATCTGGTAGAGCTTAAGAATTAATTTATGCATAGCAACCCCCAGTAAAGTTTCCTAGAGAACCTGGATGAAACCAGCAAATACTAGTCAAGGTAAACTGAGGAGCTCTACAGGAATTAAATAGCCCCCATTTGTGTTGTAACAGTCACTAATTCAGTCTGAAACAGAAACATCTGCCCCATCATCACTGTTATTTCATTACTTTCTACAGCCTAGGAAATGAGTGGCTACAGATTTTACAGCACATTTTCCGCAAAGAAACATACATCAAATGGGGGTGGTTAAACAGGACATGAATATTTGTTATTCCTTGTTTAAACAATTGAGGTGGATAAATGCTTCTGTGTCATGAACCCCATCAATGGCATCTAAGTTTAGCTTCATGTAGCTTTAAATCAAAGTTTTACATTTATTTCCATGGGCTTATTGATTGCTTCTTGCTCAAACCCACAAGCAACAGAGACTGCATATGACTGATATCACAGAGCAGAAGGTTGGCTATGAGCCCCATGGTCTATTGGAGATCTGCTAGATAAAAAAGAAAACATTCACGAGTAAGATAGCACAGCCAGCCAAGAATCAGCAACATCTGGATTTCACCTCCCACTAATCAAAAGGAGACAGTAAAGCCAATGTTGGGCACCAGCAAGGACAAACAATAGTGATGTTCAGTCCTGTTCTCAACTGCAGCTGGAATGGGGTCAGATCTATAGGAAGACGGCACCCTTTGTTAGAAAGTACCAAAGATGCCTACAAGACACTGGAGCGATTTTGTTCAGCTCTGTGTTGTTACCAGCAAAGAGTAGCTGTAGTTGCCTTTGGATTGTGGAGTTACCTGGCTGATGGACTCCCATAGTTGCTTTCCATAATCAGGAAAGAACAGCAGCAGTTAGCTGTTGCTTGTGCTCCCTGGTGAGCTAAGTGAATCACAGGCTAGGGAACTGCTGCTAAACCTAGTCAAGCAAATCCCCAACCTACACTTTTCTGAGAATTTGCTACTTTTCGAGAGATTATTACAAGGGAATTTTCACCCCTGGAATTCTGTTAAAAAACCAGAAACCAAACCAACAAAACATTCAGAACCATCAAATGGAAGATATTTTTAAGACATTTGAGGTTTGATCTGAAGTAGGTTCAAGTATGCCCACAGTATCTTGAGTAGAATCTACCTGATGATTATTATGGTTATTGTTATTTTTGTATTTCAAGAAATACCTTATCTGCTTCCCTCTGGCGCAGCACCCTGGGCTCTAACTAGATTTTTATTTTTCTTCTTCACTAGGATAAGTACAACAGCATTTAGACAAACTGCCTGAAGACTGCATCTCTCAGATCCCCAAGACTGTTAAAGTTTTCTTTTTTTCAAGTCTCTTATCCCTGTCCTGCTCTCCTTACATTTTTCTTTCTTGAGGATATGAACACCAGCACTTCAGAAACAATCACATAGATTAGCTTAGCTTCCAAGCCATACTTACATTTTGAAAGTTACCATCCTTCTCAATACTTCTCTATGTTCTGTAGTAAATTAACCTTAACGTACTCCAGGAACTCACTGTCCACACTTCCACTTTGGCAGTTAAAGACCACTTCTTTAACAAATATGCAAGTAAACAACAAATTGTCATGATCTCTGCTGCAACAGGGTCTTTCAGATCATTATCCCATTACTGTAAGACATTAGGTAGTACACCAAACAACCTGCATTATTGCTGTTGTTACCTGGTAAAAAGAATGAAAGAAAACTTAGACCAAATTAATTAGAAGTACACAGTCCACTTCTAAGATGGTTTTAGTGACATCATCTTTTCAAGTAAGCATGCTCTGTGATTCCAAGGATTGTTTCCTTCTAGTGCTGCCACTGGTGTCTTCCCAGAAGGGCCCTATAGAAGAAGGTAAGATTTGGTGACAGGGTAACCACTCAAAGATGTGGAATATGACCACTGTGGATCCAGCTACTTGAAGTATTAGAATGAAAAATACATTTAAGAAAAGAAACAAACAATGCTTTGAATCACTATACTTTATTAATACTTCAGAAACATCAGATCCTACAGTGGAGAGTTCTTATCCCCGCCTGTTTCCAATCACTGCTTTGAAACAACTTCTTGCAATATGCAAATAGATACATGAGGCACTGTGTGAATACAAAAGTGACGATACAAAAAACCCTAACAATTGAACCTCATGCAATACATACACACACACACACATATATATATAAAAAATATGGTAATGTAGCATAATACACACAAGCACTATTAGAACAATCCATGTAAATGAATGTACAATATGCATAGCATTTAATGATCAATGACAGCAGGTTTCTGACCTGTGCACAAAATCAGTCAGCTTAAATAAGAGTTTTAAGATACTAGATAACTGGTTAAGCCACAGCTTATAAAACCTGCTGTACTGCAGCTTTTCTGCTCATGGTCACAAGTGCAGATTAGCATACAAAATAAATAAGGACTACAATTCTACAACACTTGGCTAACAGCTCCTATTTCAAAGTCACTGGCCCTCTTACTTTCATTCAAGGTTCATTAGCCAACACAGTGGCAAGAAATGTGCCTAAAGCAACAGTTCTGCTCTTGTACTACTTTAATACTGATAAGAACACATATTTTTAAGTCAGCAGGAGTAGTCACAGAGGTCTAACTTACCACTAAATAAGCACAGGATTGAAGTTATCGTACAGAGCAGACAGTGAAGAATTACACTGACCGAGAGGTTGATTAGCCATGTGGTATGCTGCAGTTACCAACCTGCCTGTTCCGTCAACTAGGACAAGAAAGAGAGAGAACTGAACTGTTGAAGAAAGTTAGAAAGCTTTTTTCCCCTACTCTAAACAGTGCAAATGTTTGAAAATGCAATCTGCAGGAACAAGGAAATACAGAGACAAGTATATTTCTGAAGTCCTGTATTCAGGATGAGAGCTACTGTTACCTGAAATAAGCTTAAGTATTTGTATGGAATAACATGCAAATAACAGGCTTTTCTTACACATCCATTAGTGGTCAATACCAAAGACACAACAGTTGTAGTGTCTTATGTTCCTAGCTGACATGGTACTTTCTACACACTTGGTGTTGCAGGCCTCCAAAGATCAGACCACATTCATTATGAACACAGATGAAATTAAAATTATAACGTGGCAAGTGAACTGACTTAACAGCCAATGGAGTTTACAGTCTAAGAAGCAGCATCTTGGGGAGGGGGGGCTGACAATGTAAAAGGACATAAAAGATAGAAGAAAAACAAAATTGGGAAGAGAATAAGGAGGAGACAGAGTAGGACTGACTTTTCAGAAGAGGAAGTTAGAAGTAGTTAAAGTAGTTAAGTAAGTTAAAAGTACTTAAAGTTAAAACTTTATATTGGCCTTTTTTTTTTGCCAATGTAAAGTTTTAGCCCCCAACAAAACAAACATCTTGCTATTATTAAACACACTGGAAGAAAAAAAAAAAAAAGAAAGCAGCATTAATCATCCAGTATTAAGCAGAATGCCTTTTAACAAAGTTAGAAAGGGCAATGTGAAAAAGAGGAAGTCATAGTATTTAATTGCCCTGAGAAGGTCCCCATAGGATCTCTCTAGTTTCCTAGCTATTATCTCTTTATCCTTAGACATCCAAAAGGAACCATCATTCCTTAGATAAAAGGACAAATACTTCCTGCAGGGAGTGATGGTCACACCTTCCAGCTCCATTTACCAAAGCAACAAACCTTCCACATGCCTAATGTATTGCCACACAAATGATAATAAACTTCAAGAAGTGATCCGCTAGATCAGGAAAGACTGATGAAGTTCTTGTGCATGGAAATCCAGAACCATTTAATCATTAATAAGTTCAGTACTTGCTATATTAATATCTCCTGGAAAATAGTAATCAGGATTAATAGTTGAGAGAAAATTCAACACTCATAATCTAACTAGTCACAAAACCAGATGCATTCAGCTCCTTAGAAAGTTAAATATATCTTCTCTCTGCAGACTAAAAAGCACATATCAACAACAAGACATGAAACCC